CCAAAGCTCATGTGGTTCATTCACTGAGAAATGATGGGTTTCCATTATGTCCAAACTAGGGTGCCTTGCTTATTCATTCATTACACTTGTATCCTGCCTTTCCACTGCAAATATTACTCAAGGCTGCTAACAGCTAACAGAGCAATATAAACTATTAAAATAGCCACTAACAAAAAACCTAGATGAAAAACAAGCCAGTTAATTAATAAAATCAGTAAATAAACAATTTTTTAAAAGTTTAAAAGGCCACTTTGAAGATATGTGTCTTCTTTGCTCTTGCTGCTGCTGTTGTTATATGCCTTCAAGTAGATTGTAACTTATGGCCTCTCATAGGGTTTTCTTGGCAAGATTTATTCAGAGGAGATTTGCTATTGCCACCCTTGTAGACTGAGAGAGCATGATGTGCCCAAGGCCTCCTAGTCGATTCTTACAGCTGAGTGGTGATTTAATCTCCCATAATTGTAGTCAAACACTTAGACCACTACACCATGGGGGCTCCTTAGAAAAGCTCTGGTGTCTTCACACCCTTCCTAAAAGCAGTGGGCAAATGAACTAAACACACTCTAAAGAGAGAGGACTTTATAGCCTGGGTCTGGGAATAATACAAGAGAAAACTATCCTCTATATGACCACCAAGTAGGATTCCATAGGTGATGGTATTCTCAAGACAGCCTCCCCTGAATAGCTTAAAATCCAGACAGGTTCACAGTAAGATAGGAAACCCACTAGATAGGAGTGATTCTCCCCAAACTACTTAGGGCTTTAAATGTTAAAAACAACACCTTGAGTTGGACCCAGAAATTGGTAATGCATGCATCCCTATCAGTATCAGGGTAGATCATGTCTGAGAAAGTAATGCTGGGGTCCTTGCAGAGTGATCCCCCCCAATCCACTTGGCACAGCCAAAGTCTCCTTGCTGTTCCCAGACTGATAACTAACATAAACCCATTTTTATTCTTGAGGAAGATGGCAATGCTTGAGAGCCAGTGTGGTGTAGTGATTTGAGCATCTGGGACTCCAGAGTCTGAATCTCCAGTCAGCCATGGAAATCCACTAGGTGATCTTGGGCAAGTCACACTCTCTAGTATCAAAGGAAGGCAATGGCAAACCTCCTGTGACAAACCTTGCCAAGAAAACCCATGACAGGTTCACCTTAGGGTCACCACAGACCAGAAACAACAACAAGAAAGGAAGACACAGAGAAGCAAAATGCCGTCTTCCTTTCTCTGCATGGGCATGGAGGCATAGTTTATCACACTGGACGGATCCCGTGCAGAAACTGGATTTATTTTGTGGCATTTTGTTGTGACTCACTATATTTCATCAGACTTCCAGATTGCCCACAGGCTCAAAAAGGCTGGGGAATGGGTGTTTCTGGTGGACAGTGTCACAGTAGGTTGATGAATGTGCTAGGAATCTGAAGAGGGCTTAATAATCAGAGGTCTTGGGAAATTATTCTCTCCTCCTGCCATAGGTTCACACTTTCCAAACCCACAGCTAGAAACAGAACTAATTATGTTCCCTGAGACTTCACCTTTGTTTGGCAAGCTGAAGCGTACAATGAAGGGCTCTCGTGCAAAGACATCAGGCCGCTCTAGATGATCATCTTCATATTTATAAGAGTCCAGCACCTGCGTTCTCTTGTTCCTATGGGAATGGAAAGGCACCAATAAACAATGGAGGATCAGGCCCCAGGAAGGAAGTGAAGGCATGACATTAAGGAGATTACTATACATGGTTTAAAACAATTATTAAAGCTGGAAAAAGGTGGCTTTAGTGATACATATTGCACAATGACACCTCCAACCCATACTTGCTGTTTCCCCAAGTGCATTTAGGACATCCCTTTTCATAGATGGAGGAAACTCGTCAATGGGTTCCCAATTGTGATAGTCTCCACGTACAAAACATCACTGGTGCAGCCGCTGCAATATTAACAGTTCCATGGTGTTACTATCCCCTCCTTACCCCCATCCCTCTCCCTCTTGCTATTCCCAAACAGCCTGATTTTTCTATTTCTTTTCCTCTTTAAAACCTAATTCACAGCAGCAGAGCACCAGAATTGTGTGGAAAAAAGTGAAAATATAAATAAAATTAAAAAACAGGCAAAAGGCATGCCAGGGAGGGCATAGGGTGGGGAAAACAGGGTTAAGGGGGATTAAGGAAGATATCATGAAGGCAGCAGCAGCCCTAAGTCACAAGATTGTGAAGATGTGTGATAATGGCTGCTAACAAACAAGTATACAGTAATTCCGTTTTCCTTAACAAGCGTGATTGCAGCTAGAATGGGTCTCATGTGGTAATGTTCCAAATCATAAGACAGAGCTGTAGATGTGTTCCATGACGGTGGACTTCTATTTCTATCAGGGTTGGATAGAAGGGTCGTGTCACCTGGTTGCAATGGCAAGCAACATATGCCAAAATTCTCTCTTCAACACAGCCATTAAAGGTACAGGAGACCAGTCCAGTTTTCCTTCTGGCAAGCCTACATCTGCACAAGATGGTGGTACTCACCTATACATGAACACATAGCGTTCTTGGTAATTGCTTCGACCCAGCAAAGGGCTGGTAATGTAGCTATAGACATCAGCACCATTCTCAAACCTAATGGGAGAGGAAGCAATTCAGATTAATTCCAAGACACTTTATTTGAAAAGCAAAGTAAATGTGGATCTAGAAAAGGCTTCCTCCCCACAACAAGGTATCACCCAGATGGTGGATCAGAAAATAAAAATAAACTGGGAATGCTATCAGTCTCACCCTGGTCTTCCTGCTTTCAGGGACACTGGTTAGACAGAGGATGGGACTTTGAGTCATTCAAGCTAGAACACTTGTCACCACAACCCACAATCCTCCATATCTTATGGTTCAGGTGATACTAATCCTCTGTGCCACTGGCAGCCTCACAATGCCCCTCACTTGGCACCATCTGCTGCTCCTTTACACAACTATCCCTTCATCTATTTATGTCTCCTTGGTTGTGTTTCTCTCACATTATTCATGCTCACCGATTCAGGGCAGCTGCCAAAGCAGGAATTGCCTTTCCTTTTGCATCCATCACCTCTTGTAGAACAGCGATATCGCAACGAGACAGGATCTGTGGGGTGTGAAGGAAGAGGATGGAGTAGAGGGGCATCCAATAGTTAATGCTTATTTGGATTAGTATGTGATCAACCATTTTGCTACTATTAGCAACTAAGGGGAGTTGCAGACTGCCAGAAATAGTGCAAATTGAGTCCACTTTTAGGGTTAGGGTTAGTGCTAGGGAATCATGGGAATTGTTTTTTTTTCTGAGACATTGAGTCTTCTCTGTCAGAGAGCTCTGGTGTCACAATAAAATAGAGTTCCCATGATTCCCTAACCCTAACCCTAACCCTAAAAGTGGACTCAATTTGCACTATTTCTGGCAGTCTGCAACCCCCCTAAGAGTCTATTTGAGGTACAGATTCAAAGGGCCTTTTAAAATGTAGGTTGTACTAAATGGATACAGTACAAATTGGATGGAAGGGAGACAAAGCAGTGGCGTCACTAGAGTTGGCATCACTCGGTGCGGTAACTCACGGTGTCACCCCCCCCATCGACCTCTTCCCATACAACCCCACACAGAGCCCTTAGTATGATTTTTGTACTAATGTTACTTATAAATTGTAATTCCATATATCACTGAACGTAATGGCAATAGTTGTGACATAAACAACTAGCAAAATGAAAATTATATCTTTAAATTACAATATCATATGCACAGGCTAAAAGTATTTACATGTACACAGTTTCATGTGGTTAAAGTGAGAATTTGGTAAGATATGCTATTTTTAAAGAAAAATTCAAAAGAATAATTATTTTTTAAATTAAAAAAATTTAAAAAATCAATTTTAAAAAACAAAACCCTGAGGCCTCTCCTTTCTCCGCTACTGAGACTTGCTCCACTCACACCCTCTCCAGCATTTTAAAGGGACACAAATGGATGCCACAGACCATTTCTGCCAAAAGGATGATGTCTGGAAGCAGTAGTGTCACCCGCCTTTAGTGTGTCACTTGGTGTGGCACATACTGCCCGCATCTCCCTTGCGATACCCCTGAGACAAAGTATTGACTCTTTTCTCCACCAACTGCCCCAAAGCAATGTCCTCAGTGTTTGTTTTTCAGCTAGGTATTTTAAACCTTATTCCCCAGAGACATGCATCAACTGTGAAGCAGAGAGGGCTCCGATTTTAATTTTATTTATTAAATTAAATTTTAATTTTTGTTTTAGTTCATTTATATCCTGCCTTTTATCATTTTGTCTCCTTAATCCTCTTTGCATGCAATGGAGAGAAGGCCTTAAACCTCAGTGTGCTGAAGATGGGCGTAGCATATCTTTCTACTATCCCAATTTGGAAGGGACAGTCCTGATTAATCTTGTATCCAATTTTTCAACTTCTTTTCAGATGTCCCAGTTTCCTTCTCTTCCCCCTCTTTTTCCCAACTTACTTCCATTGGAGCAAATGTTTAAAGGGCAAATAACTCAGTAAAGGGGAGGATACAGGAAGGGACAGAGTCTTGCACTTCCCAATGGGTTCAGGCAAAAGCAAACTGCTGCAGTCTCTCCCAGCTTGTGTGTGCCTCATTCCTAACTTTTGCCATCTCGACCACACACTGATGTTGCTTGGCCACATATATCCCAGTTTTCACTGGTGAAATGTTGGAAGGTATGGCATAGGGATGCCAGAGGAAGGGGCATGACCTGGGAGATTATCATGGACCATTGCTTTGCATTGCTATCTTAGCTCCACTGTGTCACCAGAAACAACCCCAGCTTGAGGTGTATAAGGATATTTTCCAGGTGTGGGAGTGTTCAATTTATAACGTTCCTGTGTTTTCCCACTGCTTCCTCTGTCCCTTTTCTTATCAGAGGGGAAAAATATCAATTAAGGACGAAATGGTGGGATCATGTAGTACACCTTGGCTTCTGATTAGCAGCAATAGAAATTCTTGGTCTGCCTACAAGTAACTTTCTAGGAGTCAGCATGGCATAGTGGCTTGAGTGTTGGACTATCACTCTAGAAACCAGGATTCGATTCCCAGCTCAGCCATGAATCCCACTGGGTGACCTTGAGTATGTCACCCTCTCTCAGCTTCAGGGGAAGACAATGGCAAATCTCCTCTGAACAAATCCTGCCAAGAAAACCCCATGATAGGTTTGCCTTAGGGTTGCCATAAGTCAGAAATGACTTGAAGGTGCACAACACCCATAGGAGTTGAAGATCCTTTGATCCTTCAGATGTTTTAGGTTACATTGCCCAGAAGCCCCAGCAAGCATGGCCATTGCTCATGGATTATGGGAGCTATCCATAACTCATATCCATAACGAAGGCCAAAGTGTCTCCATTCTGCTTGTCTATACAAGTTGCCAACATGAGATAAGAAGCCCTGCCTACACTATAGACATCACATGAGATCAGGCAAGTTGAGCTTCCTTCCATCCTTTCAACTCCCTGCCACCCTTGTCTAGGATTGTCTTGACATCCCACCTTGACAAAAGTGTCCAAGATGTGGGCTTTATCCACCTTCCCTTGGGCAAAGCGCTGAGTGTTGAAGGCACAGATCCGGAAAGGGGCACCCTGAGAGCACAGCATCAAGAAGATCAAGATGAGCAGAGGGCATGAGGGCTCCATCCTTTAAGAATCCTCCTTCTTCCTTTTGAGAAGTAGATCCTGTAAGAAAAGTAAATGAACCAGAGGAAGGCAGGAAAGCAGGCCGATTCAGGAAGAGTTGGAGATCACAAGGGTTGTGGTACTGATTGCAACAGTGGCTACTCAGGAAGAGGCTTTTTGCCTTGGCTAAATATAGAGAAGAGAAGCCCTACTGAATGAAGAGCAAGGGCAGCTGCAGAATGCATGACAGTTCAGGCTTCCAGTGCCAGGCATGGTTTGGTCTGAGCCAAGCCATGGGCATTGGAAGGCAGGTTTCCTCTTGGAAGGAATAGCAACTACAAGATCTATGTGTATGAGTATCAATGGGAGAGAGAAAGAGAAAGCAACAATTTTTACTAGTTCCATAGTGCCCAGGAAAGAGTTAAACTCTGAACTCTACACGTTGCAGTCCTGATAGCGACTGGGGCCCC